CCAATTGCGGGGCATATGAAACATTAGAGTTCATGTTATTATTTTTTACTTCATCAATCGTGAAAGAAAAATCGGCCATGACATGAAACGCAAACCGAAAAGCATTGCATTGTTGCTACGGCACGAAGCGCCACTCCTGACCTAAGAAAAAGAAAGCTTCACAGTGAAACAATGGATCGACAAAGAATGTATTCAAGTGGAGAACCAGTAGTCGGGTGGTGGAAACATTATATGCATTCACAGGGACCAGTGTCGATCAATAATCGGGCGCCACTAAATATGAAGCCTATGCAGATAAGATGCTATAGCGTATGGCCTAGAATGGCAGAGTCAAGTAGGCATGGCGCATTAGACCGTGGATGGCTTGGCCAATGGCCTAGAATGGCATAGCATCGTAGGCTTCGAGCTTTAAGGGTAACTGTCACTACAACTTTCGGCCTCTTTCAGTTGTAGTATTAGACCAGGGGTCGGGAACCTATGGCTCATGAGCCAAATTTGGCTCACGAGCCAAAAAGTTTGGCTCATTGAATCATGGTTGAAAATAATGTACACCACTGTTTGTCAACTTCAGGAAAAATTATGTTGCTCTGAAAATCTTTTGCTCACAAGCACTTAGCTCAACCTTAATATGGCTCACTCTGCCAAAAAGGTTCCCGACACCTGTATTAGACGAAGAACTCAATTTCTCCTCGCACGCGGAAGGGACAGTAGCTAAATGCAAGATGATTATAGGCACTCTCCGACTTGCTACTGCCAGCAAGCGCTTCAGTTATATTCGGAGCTGGTAAGACTCCAATTGGAGTATTGTGTTTAGTTTTGGAGGCCTACAGAGAGACGAGAACTCACGACACTCGAAAGGGTCCAGAGGCAGACCGCAAAAATCATCAAGGAGGTTAGGGGACTCCCATATGTGAAGGGTTTAGAAGCGCTAGGACTGGACTCACTCGAGAGATGGCTAGCAAGGGGGAACCTCGTCACGGCATTTAACATAAAAGGAATCGATAACGTTTAGCTTGGTTGGTTTTTCCATTTCGCTGGCTGCAGCAGTACGAGAGGAAACCAATTTAATTTGCTAAAACTTGAGGTGAGGCGCAGGTTGCGACTAAACCTATTCAATTGTATGGTAGTGAACGCGCCGAATGCGTTAAATAACGATGTAGAGGATGCCCCGCCTGTGACTAGCTTTAATAGGAGGCTTCATGCCTTCATGGAAAAAACATGAAATAGAGCATTGTAGCTTTAAGCGACTATGCTGTAGGTGACTATGCGCCCAAGGACAAAAATATACAATGGGGAATTTGAAAGTAACTGACATAATACTGCTAAAAATTAAATAAAGTATTATGTTATATCTTAAAGATGGCTTGGTCCCGAAATTCTAATTCAACAGTGCCTTATAAAGCAAAGATACCAGAACCTATTCCAGTCAATATATTTTCTCTTTTCTCCCATGGACAAAAGAAGGAAAGCCATTCATGTCGTGTTAACGACATAACACAGTTTAAACAACGGTTTTCTTCATGCTTCTTCCCCTCTAATTTTGTCTGATTTGGCTTGGCCTGAAGCTTCCATATGTTCAGAAAAGAAGGCACAAACCATCACCTTTCTTCAGGCCAAAATACATTTTATGTCGCTCTGAACTGAATTAGCAAGGAGAGTTTTCCAGCGTTACTGACGTAACATCTTATGCAAAAAGCGAGATTCACCAAGCAAGTGTTCAATTCATTCACATTCAAATACAATAGTATAGAAGTAATAAAAACCACCCCACTTCAGGTGATTAATGTTCAATTATGCATATTTGGTCTAAGCGTAGTACTTACACATTGAGGAAACGTAAGTTGCATGACCGTTTTGTCAATCAATTTTTTTCCGCTCTCATCCCAATTACTCTGGAACTGACCATATCTGAGATGGACGGGCCTATCTCATGATACATGTTATCAGAACGCTCGACATCAACACGGACGTCATGGGCAGATAGGCCTCCTGACGCCCCTATCCAAACCTTGACCCTTGAACCATAACAATGCTGATGAATGATGATAAGAGTTCGGATCTCATCTTTATAAGGACTCTCGTCTGTATAGGCATGCTCCTGAATGTTGAGTGATGGCATTGACACGGCGTTGCTCAGACGACCAGCCTCTTTCCCCCGAAGAAAATCCAACGTGATTCGCTTCCGCATTATCGGATTCGGCGACACTTTCCAATTGCCAGTAATTACGAAAATCATTGCTTCGTCTCAGCACTTCACTACTTTATTTACTCTGCATTCAGGGATCCACCTCTGAATTGTCCCTCGAACGAACTGGCTAAGATTGGGTCCTATTTTATTCAGCATATTGGGGACAATAGGCTGGCTTTCAGTGGAATGTTTCAGTATACTTCCGTCTCCTCTCTCCTTTTTTTGGAAATGAGAGAGGAGAGGGCAGAGAAAGGCCTGATCCATGGACTGGCGCAGGATCAAGTCCAAGTCGCAATCAGCATCTGATTGGTTCAGCATTCAGGTTCATATGAGAATGTGTAAACAGCAGTATTCGTTTCCTGAGGATATGAATCTCATTAATTGTTGTGAATGAAGCAATAGTGAGACGTGTTTAGTTTGCATGGAAGTCTCGTCTATAATTGAATTGCCCCAGTTGAAGATATTTTCATATAAGATGCAATGCGATCGTAAGCTACTGCATGATTCTAAATATGTCGATAGATATCTGAAATGTATTCGTATTTGCTTAAACTTGCAAGCGTTTCTGCTTGCAAAAGTTGTGCAACTGAAACAGAAACCTGTAGCGCTACTTCATGACAAACATTTCACTCAGTCTCAGAGACGTTTGAGGTTTAAAAATGTGAATAGATTCAGTAATCCATGGAAATATTGAAAGTTCTTTCTTGAGTGAGAAGATGGATCAATGTTCCACGATCTTTCAAAGAATTTTCTCAAGAATTTGATTGCTAAAACATGAGATCAATCCATGCGTCAAATCGAAGTCGCAGTTCAATTTCATATCATGCCACGGATTCCAGAGAGCATGAGCATTCCAGTAGTGAATGTCTCCTTTCCGAAAATTATTTTGGACTTCATCATTGACATATAAAAGGAATTGACCACTTTCAATTGCATGTAATTTGGACGTTCATTCAAAAGGAAAGCTAGGATCCGTATCGTCAATTACTGATTTAACTTCTGAAACTGATTGGACTGATTGATTTCCCCTAGTGAAAGACGATTCCAAGGAAAAAGGAAAGGGCATTTTTATGCTGTATTGGAATGTGAGACCCGTAAGACCTTCTAGTGACCTGGAGAGCATCAACAATCCCCAACATTTTAATGAAATTTGGGTGTATTGAATCATTGTATTGGTCCGATATTGGATTGAAAGAGTTGCAATATTGGGGAGACATTTATTCGTCAATATTCACCCAATATAGGTTATACTGGCCAAGACGTAGCAAACGCACCCTATGTTAGACCAGCATTAGGCGAACATCTACTTTTACTGGAGTAGTAAAGCCAATATTGGCCTATATTGGGTGTCAATTTGGGCCAATGAATGCATTGACTTGGCAGTCTATGTGGCGAGAAAATTTGGATGTTGGTGCCCCAATACCACCTCAGCAACATTTTGGGCTTCCGAGCTAAGAAGGGGATGGTTTGCCAGCATAGCTAATGATTTAATTCTTGTGAATGTTTCTTAAACTGAAGGTGTAGGACCAGATATGGAGAATTCTTGTTTCAGTGCCTGAGGAGGCTAACATGAATTTAATTTATACTGGGTGTGATAGCTTCACAAATGCCATGGAAACAATTCAATAAAACACATTTTCTCTTTCAAACATGGCTTGTAAATTGAAGAGCTGTTATCGACCATGAGGCCAGACGCTTGAAGAAGACCATTTTGAATGCTCCATTCCCCTAGTTGCAACATTTAGGTATACGGTCGAGTTTTGGGTATAGGTCCAGTCTTTGTTTTGACAATGGTGTTTCGTTTGTGCCTTGATCAATTAAGGAACAATAAAGTAAGACTGAGCTGCTAATGACATTTATTAATTTCAATGAATTTCTATGGACTGGTATGGATCGGAGCATTCGATGAATGACATGAAGTAGGAGATTTTCCTGCCGTCTGGAATTGCGTCATAATTCAATACTGCGACGTAAGGGCTTTGCGCACGCATGTGTGCCACAGAAAATTACTGGAAAATTGTACATTTAACCGGGTAATTCACCTAATCTATCTAAACGTTTTCAAGCACAGTGCAATATCCATCAAGGAATTTTGGTACGTTCAGAATGGATCTCTATTACGTGGGAAGATATACGTTTCTTTCCGGTCAACATTTAAGGACTGGAAAACTAGTGCATATCGTCGACGGAACTGAGGATGTTACCAGGATGACAGAGGGCATTGCTCGAAATTCCCGCTCGAAAATGTAAGTAAAACAAATAGGCGACAGCAATCGAATATGTGTGCAAATCCCTCAAAATCCTTAGCAACTGTCGCCGGAGCAAGTTTCCTTTACTCACTAACTTCGATTATGGGGAGCACTTCCTAGGATTCAAACTTCAAACACTTCCTAGGATCGTTGGGATTTAGGTGAACATTTTTCTCTTGAACATAGGAACAGGGAGACCTATAATGTTACTGACCCTGAAGCAGATTGTGACGCGACGAGCAAAGAAGAGGGGTAAGAGGTCTCACATGTGAAGGTACAGAAACAAACGCGATGGAAATTGTCACATTTCAATCGCCAGAACATGCCATAATAATAATGGAAATGGCAACGTTGAGGACCGCGAAGAGGAAGAGAAAGAACCGATCCAGGATCTTAGAGGCGATTCTCCAATTCTCCAGGTGGGCCCGGAAATCCGGTTGCCCTGGAATCATCCTCGGCTCCTTCTTCGGCTCCTGGTTCTGCTGCTCGTCATTGTTAGGCGAGATCTCTGTTTCCCGCTCTGCCATATATAGAGTCCGAGAAATTTAGCAGTCTGGTATTTCTAACATCTAAGGGCCGAATGCACTAACCTCATTTAGGGAGTTGAAGAGCCTTTAAAATAAAGATCTCTTTTATCCTCATTACTTGCATTCTTAAGGGAACGTTAACATTCAGCATTCAGGCATAAAAGTATAGGGTGTTAAAAAAAAGACCTTGCAGGGAAATGAAAGAGATATACAAATCACGCATGATGTTCATTAACTGTACTTTTCCTTCAGGTAACCGGTGAAACACTCTGTATAACGATTTATATCTTTCATTTCATTAAAAAAATTATGCATTTTTTCAGGAATATCCTCACGAAGGCACTCGATTTATCAATTCTATTTTGAGGCAAGAATCCATTATGCTTTATAAGACTCCTTCCACTCAATTCTATCACTCCAAATGGAGTTAATAAAAAACCAAAAATGTACCATTGCCGTGTGGAGCATTTGGGGACTGCTTTTTGGAAATTCGAATCAGATCGTCGAAGAAAAGCGGAAATGAGAGTCTTTCAGCCCCAGTCTCCTTTATCTCCTCCATGTCTTTGCCCTTCTTCTCCTTCTTCTTTCCGTTTCCAACCTGTTAAAGTATCATTGAAACTGCCATATCATGAGAGACTTAACGCATCTGTCTTACTTCTATGGGTAAGTCCCATGTCAGTCACAACTTTCTAGTCAATAAGGGCACAAAAAGCGATGACCGCAAAGCTGTGGATATTGTGGCATGTTTACTGATGACTAAAAATATCAACTGTGATTCACTCTTCCAATATTGACGCAGAAAATGTGCTTCACTCCATTCTCGTTCATAGATTCTCAATCCATCACTCGTCCAGCCTCCAAATGCACGATTGAAGGAAGTTGTATTATTTTGCCTTCATCTCATTTCAAATAAGTAATGTGACAATCCGTGGCAGCCTCACTTGCGCTGATTACTACAATTGGTTATGATCTGGACACACAGACTATTAACTTATGCGGCTAGACATGTAACTGTTCAAGATTGATTTCCTCCTTTGTTTTACGATGGAATGTTATTCCTGAAAAGAGGAAGTGGGTTCCCGTTTTAGGTCGTGTAGGGTTAACGTGTAGGGGGTACCGACCCACAGACTATAGGTCAATCTGGAAGGAGAAGGCAGAAGCAGACCTCGATGAATTGCGACATTCTCATGAAGGGCATTCTGGCCAAAAGCTGACAGAACTTCTGCATGCTCCGGGGGAAAGGGACTCCCTCCAAATGATGAAGATAAAGCGTGAAGATGCTCAAGCCCACCTCCAATCCAACCAGACAGATGCACACGCAGTAGTATATCCCTTTAGAAAAAGTGGCAATGTTGAACACCCCCTCTCTGGTAATGGTTTCATTTCAGACACTAGGAATACGTTCTGTTTCTTGTTGTATTTTCTTGGGACTTAGGTGTGAATATAATAAGAGGTGGTAAATTTTGTTCTAATTAATTGTTTGTGTTCCCATAATTTTTGTGCTCTTGTCCTTTACTCCTAAGGGATTGAAACTTCTTTAGTTTTAAATACCTTCTCGGCTGTATGAGGCTTTTTTTCTAACAAAAAAATATTCGTTAAGTTGTAGAAGTACACTGAGTGTGCGAAGTATCCTGTCCTCTCCTTGATATTTATATTTCATGGCAATGAGTTTTGAATGGTGTGAAGGTAGGGGAGGCCTACCAATAAGCGGAATGTCTTCGGTGGGTGGGAGTAGGTCCCGGATGCTAGTTAGGAAGATTATCATATTCAGCATGGTGGATATACCAAGCGTCACTTTCTCCCCGCTCTCGCATGGCACCAGGAACGCCAGCAGGGCTATCATCATGGAAACATATCGGATTAATAATATTGAAAGCACTTTGTTAAATATTCAATATTACGGGGACATGTTCATTAAAAACTGTCGTAATACCCATGTATTCCTATTTCATCGTACGCAATGGATTGCTGGAACGTTTATAGCCATGTATACAATCTAGAGATATACTGTTACATTTCAAACGAAGCAGTGACCACGATGGGTATTTCTGGTAGAAGTCCATCAAACTTAACGTAACAATACATTAAAACACTTCATGCAACATTATAAATCCCAGACAAGGTATCGACATTCTTAGAGCTACGGATCGTCTGGATGAACTCCCATAACGCTATTCTTCAATGCAGATTCCTCGGATCCTGAATAAGTCCAATCTGAAAAGTCCTTGCATCTGCTCACGTGATTGGATCTCGTCAGAAAGGTAGATTTTTCCAGATGTCGTCTCCAGTTGAATAATGTTACGTTAAATCTTGTTTCATGGTACGAGGGGCATTGAGTTTGTTCGAATGATTGCTTTCACGAACCCAAATGTAAAACTTTTTAGTGAATCTCCGATATTCACAAATAAAAAATATACTGTATGCGTGAGAGAATTCAAAAAGAGAGACTTTGAAGATTCTTTCCCCAGCGCACTTGGCATGATGTAAGATGAGCAGACGTGGCAGCATTTTGATACGATGCATTTTTATCGGTTGTGGTGATGCATCCACTCACATCCCCTTGATGTTATGCTTTTATATGGATGTCACAACCTCATAACAATGGGGGAATAAGGTTAATTTCCCCTTGGCATTGTAAAATATTCTTCATTAAAAATTAAAAATTGTACCATGCAAAAGTTTTATTCGCACGAGTTAAATCGTAGTTTTTATGTGTGTGGACAGATAACTACGCTCTCACATTGCGATATGTAATGAATATACACAGAGTATTCAGCGATCAAATTTTCCTACATGTGATACGATTCAGCAGCACCAACATTTTTTTTACCAAGAATATTGCATTCATTATGGGACCTCGGATCTATTAGGATGCCATGAAATGCAGATTCAAACTGCCATGATGGTAGGAACTGTGAGGGCAACAGTAGCGAATGATCTCTTCCCCAGTTTCCTGGGTGGGGGAGGATGCATATAAATAGCGTGTCTGGATCTATGAAACCTCCAGTAACTGCTCTTCATGAGTCATGTGATATTATTTTCAGTTTTGAGAATTTTTACGCTGCAAAAATGCATCACAATGAGGACGATTTAGTTTCTCAGAATATTCTTTGTGTAGGGTCATAAAATCATGATAACGACTACAGGAAAATTTTCAAAATTCCGACCAATGATATTGATGACGACCATCGGGAGGACGTGGTTGATGACGAGAAAGAACATTCCCTTTCTGGAGAGGGTGATGGAGTACTCCACAGCAGAGAAGGGAAGAATACAGCAAGGATCTGTATAATTCCTATGCGCAACCGTAATTAATTCCAACTTGAACTCTGCGCTCTCTTCGTATGCCACAAGCTCGGCTCCACGGTCATTCGGTACACTCATCTGGATCTGATCGATGATAAGCATTGTGGATTGGTCTAAACCAGCGGTTCCCAAAATTTTGTAGGCGTACCACTAGAAGCTTGAAGGTTCAATGCCAGTAAAAGGTAGTTTGGGAACCACTAGTCTAAACGATGACGAAATGACTGATGCACAAACCTTGTCTTGGTCCTGGGTGAGGGACATGAAGAGCAGTGTGCAGGTCTGTTTGTCGAAGGGGAAACCCTTGGCGTTAATGTTGCAAGAGGAGCGGAAGTGTGCCACCATCTCTAGCATCACTTCCCCGGTATATTCCACGATGAGGTTCGTTGTAACAATTCCTTTCAAGTATGTCTCGGATGCGCTAATTGAGGACAGTCGTAATTAACTCAGGAACTAAAGATGGTTACAAAATGTATGCACTGATTCTTAGAGTGCATATTATATTTTTTTGCATGTAATAGCAATTTAAGAATTCCATTTTAGGTTGTCTTCCTTCAGAGAGGAGACTAATGACTGGGAATAAACAGTCAAAATGTATTGCTTGTGATGAAACGCATTCCTATCCCTCTTGCCTTGCAAACCTTAGAGCATCATAATCACCTTCGTTCATTAATAAGTAATAACGGCAGATTTACCTATTGTAAAGGATGATATCCGGAACCCAAGCGGATTCGTAGAGGGTTACGGTCTCCCGAATCCCATCATATTCGGCTGGGTTCCATTGGAGGTGGGTGTCATTCCAGCGCTCGACCACTGCGACGAGGATGGCCATTGACTGATCCCTCTCGTCCTGTGAATCAAAACATTGTATTCCTTCATACGTAAAAACTCTTTCTTACGGCTTCTTATAAGGTTAGTCGCGGGGTTTCATGAGTTAATAAAAGGAAGGTAGTTCACCTTGGAGGTTAACTGTTGCACAAGGCAGTCTTCGGCATGCAAAATTCTGGACTGAGAGAATAATTATTACGTTTCTGTTTTGTTGCAATTTAGGAGTGAAATTGAGGCGTGAGTAGAACGAGTTACTTATGTATAGTATGGTGGAAAAAAGGAGACGAGTATGCCTGGCGACTCGAATATATCAATGGAAATTGCAACTTCTGAGGTTTTTAAATTACCAATTAATTTTCAAGTGATACGTGACTTGCCTGGATGCCCCTTAGATTGCGAATCCTCACTTTCATTTCCGCAAGAAGGCTCTGATTTTGAGAATTTGATGAACTTTTCTATGAGAATACCCACATTTTTATTTTTTAAATTTGTCATTTTTTTATTGACTTGATTAAAAAAAGTGATTATTCCTTATATCAAGAAGCGACATCACTTACATTGCAATTACACTTGATATTGGTTCGTGTTCAAATCATGTCCGAATCTCAGACTCTAGATCAATGGAAACAGGAAACGCGCGGCGAAAGTGAACGGAGAAATAGGAAAAATGCATCAATCTGATGATCATGGATCGTCAACCAAAAACAAAATGATGAAATTAGTTTCAGTTTCAAGAATTGTAGGATTCCCTAAATTCCATTCCAAGAACACATATTCAATTGCTTAGTCCAAAGTTGAGGGTTTGGTCTATTCTGGAAAACATCAAGAGTCAATTTTCTCTTTAATGTGAAAAAAGACATTAGAATGTGAAGCTTCAAAGGTACAACGATGTTAAATTAAAGGATATACGAGCCAAAGTACTCCAAATCGTTTTGAAAGCATACCTGTTTTGATCTCTGATAAAAGATTTCCCTACTTTTTATCATACAACACGAGTGGAATCTTGGTGACACTTACCAACCGGAGGATCCGAAAAAGGGACAGGATGAAGGAGACGACAAGAGGATCCCGGGAGCTCTTCACAGGCCGGATCTTGCGGTAGTTCCCGAAGAGATGCTCCTGCAGCCTGTACTCCTCCTCGCTGCCATCCACTTGCAACACCTTTCCAATGTTCCATAGTAAAGCAAAGTGGATGAAAATTGATGATAGGAGCTTGGTTCTCATCGTCCGTCGGAGGGGTCCCGTCTGGTACATGAGCCTGACTGGGGGAACATGATGCGGACAATGAGTTCCTCTAATGCGTTTCCCTTCTATACGTCGGCATCAGAAATTATAGATGGAGAGCAATCATGGTAATCAAAGCCCAGTCCCACCGTCTGGCGAATGTATTAACTATGCAAACGCTGATCGGTCCCCCGATTACCCCCTCTCTTACTCTTCTAGTTCAATGAATGAAATTGGTTTCTGATTTATTCGTCACAAGAGACGCGTAGTTCCGATCCCGTTCTACGTGGCCATATGGATGACATCGGGGTGATGGGAAACGAAGCGATCCGCGAGTCGGATCAAGATCAAGGCCAGGCTTGAAAAGGTCTCCATCGCCCTTAGATAATTCCAGCACTCGTCTTGATGACTTTATGCAGACTAAGTCTTGGCAGACAGGAGGGAAAGAAATTAGGTTTCAAGTTTAAATTTTTTTTTATTCGAGCACGGACCCATACAACTCCGAAAAATCTTCCTTGATGGTTGAATTTTTTCCCCCTACTCTAAAATTTGGTAGTGATATCCGCATTTCCTAATGTATGCATATTTCCTAATTTTTAGAAAAATTTTCGCAACCTGATTCAGGCGCTGATGATTGGGCATATGATGTAGAAATGTGAAAACCGATTTCAAATGGTTTTACCTATCTTCAACCTTAACCCCCCTCCCCCCACTCCACACCTTCCCCCATTCTCGACTGAACTCAATAACATTAGGACAGGGCCTAACCGACGAACGGTCTTCGGGTTATGCCTATGCCTACCTTTCTCGTGCAAAAAAACTAAATCCTTGACCTTCGGACCAATTAGGCCTATAAGGATTAATCCCTGGTCTTCGAGACACCTCGTCGAGGACGTGTAACATTAGGCCAATTGCAGGCCTATACAGTCTCTCAGGGCCCATTTAACAGAGAACTGGTAGCGTTAGACCAAATGTAGTCCTGTTTCGAGTTTCACGAACCCTTTCGGTGCGGACAAGGAACGTTAGGCCTATCCAGAGTTCCTCGAACCGTCTCGACTCGTTCCGAGAAGGAAATGCCTTTTGAAAGCATGACATGCAGCTGGTCGCCATTCTGTTAATTTACGGTTGTCCGAATGTGATTTCTCATCACACCAAATCGATTGGCCACTGCTAGCCACTGTTTCAATCTCAGCTCATCTAATGAACTCGACACGTAATTATCTGATACATGAAAAAAGAAGACCAAGACACATATACGAAGGTCGAAGAGCCGTGAATCTGGCATAACTAAGGCACGATATCCGGCAACACCGGAGCCATCAGGCTAAGGCTAAATTAACGGTATCTAATTTATTTTTTATGGCAAAATGGTGCCCTAGAAGAAACAAAAAGGACACTTTGGGTCACCTCCAGGACAATATCTTTCATTTGGTTGTTCCCTTTCTCGGAAAACTTCCCTGGAGTGGCTACCCAGGGGGAAGAAAAAAAAAAGCCAGAATGAAATCTCCGAAAATCTCCGTCTCCGAAAAGCACGATTTAGTGATCTCCACAATCCCGGGTAGATGGAGCTTCAAATTTGCTGGAGCAGTGGTGTGTTGCGAGAGGAAGAAGTATTTCAAATTTCGTTCCTGCCGATCCTCTCAGAGAGGAATACGAGCTGGTTGAATTTTGTCGCTGGAAGGGGTTGAAGAAAGGCCGTTAACAAAGCCCCTTGATAAATAGCGCATTTGATTACTTAACGGTTGACTGATTTTGAGAACTGCTTACAGCACCCATGCCAAATGTTTGGTGCATGCACTTATAATAAAGCATTCTAGTCCCAAATAAAATAGGCAAATAAACATATGGATTGCATTCTCAAAGTCTCGTGAAAAACTGGCTTACGACGATTCATGAAAAAAAACTCCGATCGACGTGGAAGCGTAGTAGGATGCTACTGATTCTCGCGGCAACTTCCAACCGGAGGACCGAGGTTGGGAAGCACCCAAGGTCGGAAGGTTAAAACAAAGCGTGCGCGATCCTGACTGCTAGATAGGCCGAGCGGCAATTCTGTGTTTGTGACAGCTCTACAGGCCAAACGCTTCGAGATGTGAACTTGGAGTTTCCGCACAAATCTTCCTTATCATCCGAGGATGTGCCACTGCGACCGAAAATTTGTAAATAGGCCTCATGAATGGGAGGGGAGTCAACTTTCATTCGGAGGTTCGTTCTCGTCTCGCCATCTTTCGGACGGACGAGGAGACGAAAGTTGCGGTGGTGCTCGAAAGGGAACTCCGGCATCGCTCACTGCAGTGTCTCCCGCCTGCTGCGGTGAATCCAAGAATTTCAAGCTTTCATCATGAAATACAGGGCGATTCGTCAGTTCGTTGTCACTTGGGTTCACACGGCTCCGCAAAGCAGTCCAAACACCACAGTTTTCTCGTGGGGGTTCGTTTCTCAAAATCCTTCTCTTTCGTCGTTGCTTATATCACCTTCAGTCCTTTGAAAGCGCTGAAGAACGACGCGAGGAAGCCGACGAGCGCGAGAGTTCTTCAGAGCTTGCATTGTTTTCCCGTATCACAGTCGCATTGATAGATGTAAAAAAAAGGAAAAGTATGATAAGCTTGCAGATAAACGTGATTTCCAGTTCGTGAAAGTGGTGTTTGCTCTTCCCGTCTTCCCCCATTCGCATGAGCTGATGTACGATGCTACCCGTTCATGTTTCCGAGACTGAGACTCCCCCACATTTGGCTTCTTCATTCACCGTGGTTGCAGTCTCGCGTCAGTACTCCGATACTGAGAAGAGTACGTTGTGGATTGCAGCGGGACACACTCTCGCTAGGATTGGCAGGTGCGCTCCTAGTGGTATGTTGCTTTCAAACTACAACCCTAAGTAGAAAACCGGATTTTTTTCATGCTTACTAGGCATCATGCTCCAGTGACGTGCTGAAATGCCACGTGGAATGATCTCTGAAGATCATGAACCCTACTTCCGCGACAACAGAGCACTTCGTTTCCACCGGTTTGTAGCAGGTTTCCCTGCCACTAGTTAGGAAAGAGCGACCAGGAATGGGTAGAAAAAGATCACCAGTGAAAACGCTAGGGACATCAGAGGAAAATTAACTGCAATTCTGGAGGAGGAATAACAACTGGAGAACTGGAAAAGATTCCGACGGGGATAGCAATGTCGATGTCACTAAAGAGAGGGAGAAGGAATAGATCCAGGTTCCTAGATGCGATTCTCCGATTCTCTGTGTCTGCCTAGAAATCTTTTTTTCTCCACGAACCGCCCTTATCTCACTCTTCCATTCTTGCTTCCGTCGTTCTTCCATGCGAGATATTATGCCACCCTTCCAATTCGTCTTACACAATTTTATGAATATTTACCTGTGTCGTCTTCCTAAATTCCAGATATACCTCGTATATCTGGAATATCGTTCCACTTTTCAAATCAGACTCAAATCAGAGGACTCTTGTTTAGAACGGAAAATGCGGCCGTTAATATTTCACCGTTGAAGGTGAAAGGGATCTGGATAAGATAGGTGACGGATGAGTATTTGTTGACGATGCTGCGTTCGGTGCGAACGTAAACGTAATAATGGTATTACGAGGTAGTACAGTTCTTATTATCGGAGAACTAGACCACGCCCGCGCCCTGCGGGATCTGCTTCCCGGGTGACAAAATTTAAACAGACGTAAAGAACATGAGGTTAATATTTAATATGCAATGAAAGAAAATACAATTAGTAAAGAGATAGCGTTCGAATTTCAAAGCGCCATGCTTTGGATCAATGATAGGAAATGCGTTACGCCATCGGGGAACCCGCAACTGGATGTATGCAAATGCGCAGCGAGTTCCGCCCCATAGCATTCAAGTGTAACACTTTGTTGAAATTAGGAAAACCGGGGCATTGGATAAGGTATGTTTTTGAGCCATGCAGGGGATGCGGATGAACTCTATTGAAACGGCCCGACCCGCGGATCGGGCGGGCAGCTCGGCTGGCAATTAAGGTAATTGTTGGGTGATGCTTTTAGAGGGTGTTTTTCTCCAGCCGCTTACAGCTGTTGGCGGAACGTTGTGACCAATAAGAGCACCGAACAGGACAGCATGCATGTGACGTTTCGGATTGCTGGGATCGTCAACAGAGCAAGCAGAGCCACCTAGAAGAAACCCAGAGAACCCGATTTCCGAAGCTTAGAGGCCTAAGCAAGCTGCAGGTTGGCCCGATCGGCCCGATACGACCCCCGGGTAGGATCACGATTCGAATCGGGCCGATCGAGTCGAATACAAAAAAGTCGACCCCAGCATGCCTCCGGAGAACAGACAGACAGACTGACGAACGACGTCGGCTATTACAATATATAGATTGATCGCACCTGCGTGCACAGGATCCACTTCGAGTGTAACAAAATGTCAACAAACATAAATAATTCCTGGTTGGGATGACTTCCGAAGTGGACTATCCGCAGAATGTTACGCGCGAAAATACAGTATGCATAGGATACAAAGGTATACGAGTATGTTTCAAACAGAGAGAGTTGAGGTAAGAGTGTCATATTAGTGTGTCGATATTGTGACGGATGAGGATGGCAGCGAGAGGCTCAACTGAATGTTCTGGGTTCGGTGGTGTAGTGGTAGCACACCTGACTGGCAATCAGAAGCCCCGGGTTCAATTCCCGGCTGTTCCTTGGCTTCTTTCGACCTCTCACGCCGTCCGTCTCCACTTACCCTCCATAACAATATAATGGTTACGTTTTACGTGGACATTCAAGAGCAAGAATGTTCGGCGCCCCGTCCGGGTTATCGCACCTGCTAGCTGTGCAATCACCATCCCAGGCATGCGCATCGAACTCGAGACTGGTTTTCTGAGAATGGTTTTTCCCTTCTGGGCTAATCTTCGTTGTTCTGGTGAGGCTCCTCATCGCGCGGTTAGTAGAACTCAATTATTTTTTTCCCTCCAGTTCGGTTGGAGGCCAAAGAGTGAAAAAGTCACCTTGTTTTGAGAAATGATGGCTCAGCTGGGTTAGGAAAAGGTTGCGGCATTCGACCACGATTATTTTCCAATCCAACTGATCCATCATCCCCCCAATTATGCTGACTTTTTCTTTCGTTGGGCCAAGCAGAGACGGAATGCGACTCGCTTGATCTGCCTTCATCCTGTTTTCTCTGAGGTTACTTAGTTAGGGTATATGTAGCAAAAACTCAAAAGCACTGAGTGAAAGAGATTCAGAGTCCAGCATTTAGGTCAGTCAGTTATTATTTGCGGGAATACAGAGCATAATCATGATGACCGAAGGCACGGGGAGGCTGGCAAGAGCGGACGAAAGTAACCGAGGGTACCCCTGGAATTTAAACCAGGGCCTCCTGATTGATTGTAAGGAGTGCTACCATTATACCACCGAACCCAGGACATTCAGTTATGCTTCTCACAGTGCCTATCACCACACATTCGGCTTTCTGTTCCAACGAAAACGGAGTCTCTCCTCCTCCGTTCAACGTGGCTATCCCATGGTGAACGTGCGCGCACGCTACTTCATGCTTGCCTGTCCTGCGGCACACAATTCTTCACATTAAAATTACTATTTCTTTCTTTATCTTTCTCAGCTGAAATATGCACCAACGCAATATACTCATCGAGAGCTTGCGATTGATATATCACATGCACCATTCGACGGGTGGTCCATTTCGGAAGTCTTTTCCTCATTGGGACAGAGTTAATTATCAGTCAGAAAAAGTCAATTAGACGGTCGGTATTCCCCTTCTCTTCCATCCCCACCCCTCTACCTGTCCCATAGCCTGAAGATGGTGATGATTGATGATCGGTTCCCATTTTCTGTCATCTGCATAATCCGGAATGCCAATATATGGCATTGCCCCGTGTTGCTCGGAAGAACAGCCTTCAGAAGAAGGTCCAACGCGATTTGCTTCTCTTTTCTCCGCTGCGGCACTTTACTATTGCGAGCCCTCAAGCTAATCAATGCTTGTTCCAGCACTTAACTGATTTATTTACTCTGCAATCAGGGTTTCGCCGCCGTCCCACATAGGCTAAGACTGGGTCCTCTATTATTCGTTATCTTGGGGGCAATGGACTGGCTTTCAGTACAGGTGGCGAAGTTTAAGGTTCGCTTCGCTTGACTTTCATCCTAGCGCAGGATCATAGCCTAGCCAGGAACAGTCACAAACCAAGAACAGCCTCCCATTATTTATGCAGTGTTCAAAGGAGAATGTGGGAACGGCAGTATTGGCTTCCAAAGGGTTTGAATCTCATTACCTATAATGAACGTAGCAATAGTGAGACGTTATTGTTGAGTTTGCTAGGAAGTCTCGTCTAGAGTTGAATTGCTCGAGTTGAAGTAATTTTCATATAGCGAGCAATGTGATTGCAGGATATTGCACGAGTGAAAAAACTTAAATAGATCTTAGAAATATGTAAATATACTTGCAAAACTACAGTTTCTGCCTGTAAAAGTTGCTCAAGTAAAACAGAGACCTGTGACCCCAAGTGAATCTCATTGCAAAAAATTCCCTCAGTCTCAATAATGAAGTTTCCAGTCAGAAAATGAAGACATATTCAATAATTCCGTTAACTGCTAAAGCATTCTCGACAGGAAACCCCCTACACGTACTTTTCCCGATTCTTCACCATAACATCCTTCGACGAAAAGCTGCGATTAGAAACTAGCGGAAGAAGCAGTGTGTGACACATGGACACGACCGACAGTGCTGGTTGGCATAATACCACTGAGCAGGTGAAATCACAGAAGGGTCGAATCGGTGACCAAATAGTATGATTTTACTCATAGATGAAATGCATCAGGTGACACTTCTTAGTGACGTGCGACTAAAATTCAGATTTACCAAGGACAAATAATCACATTGATGGGTGGCATCGCACTCTTGAAGTAATTATAGGTATACGTCATTCATGAGATGCTGGAAGCGTCATGAAAAGTACGGGCAGGAACCAAAGACTACCGAAATGAAATTACTTTGAATCATGGGCCATTTTGCAAATTGTCGGCGCTCATTTGACGTGAGTATTTTTGTGTGTTGTTCACATTCCACGAATAAATTTCGTCTATTGGGATATCTGCATTTGGACTGTCGAACTTATGTCGGTGTCCGGGTAATTCACTGGGAAAATTTATCTAGCGAAATTGATGACCAATGATCTTTCAAAAATGTTTTAAACATTTCGTTACTAAATGATTTAATCTCATGTGCTTAATCCAATTTGCGGATCATCTACACATCCAAGCATCTAGAATGCATTTCAGAGATCCAATGCCTTCTTTCCAAAAATGATCTTTTCTTAACTTGATTTTTGGAATGTTTCACCATGAGTCTTATACCTGTTGCTACCTCGCAAGTTTAGAACTTGCATTCTTTCATTCAGAAACCGCCTCTGATAGCGAATGTAGTCAGCAGTGGAATACAGTAGGTCGCCTTGGTTGTTTCAGGAGAATCCATTCATCATCTGCCTCTCATACATTGGTGCGTTGAATGTGAAGATAATGGAATGATAAGTTGTTAACAGAAGCGGTGGTGTGTACACCACATAAACAACGCAAAGGAGTCCCGATTTACTACCAAAGAAACACGTTTTCTGAAGAATGCCATTTCATATTTCAGGATGTTTTTCCGCACGTTGTCCCTTCCGCCCACAATAGAATTTGCATTTCCACTTACTCATGCGGCAGTTCCGCCTTTCGCTCCCCAATATGTAACTATTTTCAAAGCAACTCCAATTTAAAATATTCGTTTAATATAATGGGAGTGAAGCTAGACAATGACAAGATAATTGCAATAATATGATCACATCCAAATACTCATCATCCTTTGAAACTGACGCGCCGTTCATTTCCATTCAGAAAACATAGTATGGGCATCCCATTTTGCCAGACAGAGAGAGCAAAGACACTTCTGAGGAAGTTTCTGCGGAGGAAGCCGGGAGTGGAGGATGTGGAGGACTATTGGGCATTGGCAGGGTTTCACAAGGTCTGCATGTGCTATTCACCATAGATGATCGTGAGTCTGTGTCTGATGCTAATTCAAAGCATGTTCTATGTGTGACAGAAAGATGAAAGTTATACGTACGAACGTTACACGTAGTTGTAGGCTTGTTGATAGCAGAAAAAAAGCTAGTTTTGAGGTATATCCAAGGTGATCCTTCTGGGGTGGTTTTTCTTGTGGGATTAGGAACCTTTTCTTCGCGACTTTTTCGATCGAGCAAATGGTCGTTACAGTTGAGTTTAAAGGCATGAGAGGAATGGAAGAATAAATATGGGGAGCAGCCTTGCATTTTTAAAAGTTATTGAAGTCAATTGTTTCATGTCTCATAGCGTGAAGGTTCCTGATATAGATCTAAAGTCACCACATGTTTTGGAAATCAATTCTTAACAATTTAATAAATAGTTTTACCGCTTCATTAGCACTTCACTTCGAGGGCCGAACGGGAGAGATTACGATTTACGGAACTGAATAAGCAACCAGGTTGTTAGGCGGCGATTTTCGAACAAGCTGCTGGAAAATGCAATAAAAGCACGAGTGAACGACAGTGATCGAATATAGGTGCAAATCCCCCAAAATCTTTAGAAAATTTCCACATAGCACATATTCCCTCATTAACGTCTATTATGTTGAGCTATACTCGCCTTTCCTGGAATTGTCGCAATCCAGGTGAACATTTCTCTCTCGAGCGAAGGAACAGGTATCATGTTGCTGACCCTTAAGCGAATTGTGATACGACGACCGGGAAAGGGAAGAAAGAGGTCACTCGGGAAAAAAAGAGGAAAATGCCGAAGCTAACCCTGGAAATTTTTCCGCATTTCAGTCGTCAGAATATGCCAAGATTCCAATGGAAATAGCAACGTTGAGGACTATGAAGAGGCAGAGAAAGAATCGATCCAGGATCTTGGAGGCGATTCTCCAATTCTCCAGGTGGGCTTGGAAATCCGGTTGTGCCCGAACCATCCTCATCTCCTTCCGCTCCCACTTCTGCTGCTAGTCCTTGCTGGACGGGGTCCCTGTCTCCCGCTCTGTCATACACAGGGCAGTCTGGTATTTCTAAATTCTAGATGTATAATTGGTTGAACCTTTTTTTTAATGTGATGAATACTGAGACTTTTATCGGGAAGAGCTTCACGAAAATATTTCATTCATCAGATGCATCTTGAGGCAGAAATGCGTTTAGCTTCAAATAACAATCTCCCTCAATTTCATTCCATCGCTCCGAAAGGGATTAAGATAAAAACTAGAATGGGGTACCTTTTCGGTGGCTAGCGTCTTTGGACTGTTCCTTGGGAGTTTCAACCAGATCGTCAAAGAAAAGCGGAGAGGAGGATCGTTCAGCCCAAGCCTCCTTAACTTCTTCCATCTCTTTGCTCTTCTTCTTTTCGTTCTCCTTTCCGTTTCCAACCTGTTACAGGATCATGCAAATTTCAATTTTAACGGTGGGATTGACACGTCCGCCTCTACTTTTATGGCTAATTCGAACGTGAATTATAACCTAAAAGTTTGTCCAAAACTGCACAAAAGCGGTCACCTCACGGCTGTAGAAATTGTGGCTTGTTTAATGATAAACAATGACATCAAATGATACTTATTTTTCCAATATTGACGCTGAACATATATGCTTCACCGTACACAGATTCTCGGTCCATCATTCGCCCAATCTCTTAATGCATAATTGAAAAAGTGTATTCGTTTGTCTGCATCTCATTTCAAATGATGAGTATGAGACATAGTATGACAGCTTGACTTACGAAGTCCGACGGAATTATTTCATGCCGGCTGGTAATGAACTGTGTATAAGAATATACAATATTTGAACCTATGGTACTCAAGATCAAGCTTTTATGAATGATTTCTCAGTTTAAAAAAATATTGATTGAATGCTTTTCCTAAGGAAAGGAAGATGGTTATCGCATTATGTGACATAATGTGGACTACACGACACGTGTAGTGCCAAGTTGTTCGTGTGACCGATCCACAGGTTGTAAGCCAAGCTCTGGAAGGAAGAGCAGCAGCATACCTCGTCGAATTGCGGCTTTCTCATGAGGGGCGATCTAGACAAAATGTGGCACAGGTTCCGCATGCTCTGGGGGAAAGGGACGCCCTCCAGATGATGAAGATAAAGCGTGAAGATGCTCAGGCCCACCTCCAATCCGACCAAGCAGATACACACGCAGTGGAACTTCCCTTGAGGAAGAGGATGAGTATGAATTTATTTTAGTTTATTAGCGCCTTTACTCTGGACTTCTTTGGGAATGAAATAGAAGGAAGTGAATTTTTTACTGCTTTATCATTTTCCCCATCATTTACGAGCGTTACTCGTGTATTCTTTAGCAGGTGAACCTTCTCTAATTTTCAATACCCTTTAGTTTTCAAGTTTTTATTTTCAAGAAAAATACTCATCACGATAATGGAAGTGCATTCATCTTGAGAGCTATCCTGTCATTCCCTAAGAATTTTCGTCTAATAACAACTAATTTTCAACGGCGTGAATAATGAGGAAGCCCAACCTATAAGCGGAATCTCTTCGGTGGGCGGAAGGAGGTCGCGAATGCTAGTCAGGAAGATGATCATGTTGAGCATAGTGGATATCCCGAGCGTCACTTTCTCCCCGCTTTCGCATGGTACCAGGAACGCCAGCAGGGCTATCATAATAAAAACATATCGGATTAATAATATTGAATGCTCTTTGTTGAATCTGGATACATTTTCGCGAAATAGGTTTTTTATTCAATGGTTATTTTGATTGGAATATGTTCAAATAAAAAAGGTTTAGGCATACCTAAATATATTACGAATTCGTCATGCGCGATTCAAGGGTTAATCGCCACATATGCAATCTAGAGGAATTCAAAAGTTATTTTTGAAACGAAATGAAGTGAACAGGTTCGGGACGTCTGGGAGAAGTCCATCAAAATTAAGGACAACAATAATTCATATTTTGAAGCACTTCGTTCAACATAAGGTATGTTTCTGCAACTAATCTTCGAGAAAATTACCCTATGGCTAATCTCTCATAACGCTAATTGTCAATATCGATTTTGATTATCTTCAATCCGGAAGGCCCTTGCGCCTGCTTTCGTGACCAGTTCCCGTTAGAGGAATATATATTTTCTTCATTTCGTCTGATGCTGAATAATCTTTTGGTAGCTCTCACCTTTTACACGTGATACACTTCGGCAGCATCAAAGTGTCTGACTAAAAATGTTGGATTCATTCTGGGACTTCGGATCAATTAGGATACCATAAGGTGCAGATTTGAGCAGGCAAAAGGGACAGGAAGGGTGAATTAGCGAAGGCCCAGTCCTTAGTTTCTAAGGGATGCATGTAAATAGCGAGCATGGATCAAAGTAACTCCCTATAGCTACGCTTGATAAGTCATGTGACGTCATTGTCGATTTTGAGGATCTATATGCCGCGAGAATGCATCACATGGATGACAATTTGACGCACTAAATATTCTCAGTTTATGGTAACCTGGCAATCTGGGAAACAATTGAATGAAAATGTCTAAAGAGCCAACCGATGACATTGACGACGACCATCGGGAGGACGTGGTTGATGACGAGGAAGAACATGGCCCTTCTGGAGATGGTGATGGAGTACTCCACAGCAGAGAAGGGAAGGACGCAGCAAGGATCTGAGTAGTTCAAATGCGTGACAGTGATTACCTCCAACTTGAATTCTGCGTTCTCTTTGTACGCAACAAGCTCAGCTCCACGGTCATTCGGTACTCTCATCTGGATCTGATGAATGACATTACGTATTGGTCAAACCAACGGTTTGTTAACCCAGTGGTAGGAGGTTTAGGAACCACAAAACGTTGACGAAGTGACTGGTGCACAGACCTTGTCTTGGTCCTGAGTGAGGGACATGAAGAGCATTGTGCAGGTCTGCTTGTCGAAGGGATAACCCCTGGCGTCCAAATTGCAAGAGGAGCGGAAGTGTGCCACCATCTCTAGCATAACTTCCCCCGTATATTCCACGACGAGGTTCGTTGTCACGATCCCCTTCGTGTATGCCTCGGTTGCGCTGTTTCAAGACAGTCGGGAGTACCCATCACTCAAAATGGTTATCATTTTCCCTTGCCTATTTTGAGAATGAATGTTATGCTTTTTCCACTTGATGGCAATGCATGGATTCCATTTTGGGTGGGCTTCCTTCAATTGTGGGATGTGCTGACGATGTGCTTTACTGACAGTGGATTTACTGACAGTGAAAGAACAGGAAATGTATTTTGCTTGTGATGAAACTCCCTCTCAGGAACAAAAACACGATAATGACTACGCAATTCCCAATTTTTTTAATCTTGTCAGAAAGCAATTTGGCATGATGTCCAAGGCATGCAACAGGTGTAATTGTGCAGTATACACGGAAAACCTATCTGACCCTTGCTTTGTTGATTAGGTCCTGGAAGGGAAAATTGGCAAACGTTTCCTTTGGCTTAAAACCAAATGAAGCAAACCTTGAATTGTGCATTCTTGGTCCATCACCCTCAGAGAATCATTTAAATGTTATTTAAATCGACTTTGATCATGCGCCCGCGGATCAAAGATTTGCCTGGATTCAGCGTCTGAGACTATCTGTTTCGTATGATTGGGCATTTCCCTAATCCTAATACTTTTTAATATCAAGGAGCGCATGAGGGAAGTTTGCAGCAGTACATTTTCGGATCATGCCTCTAAAGATTATCACTCAATTGTTTCATTTTTTATCTTTACAAGACAATCGTCAAGAACGTGAAAGAGGTTTATTGGTTTAAAATTTCTAGCCAAACAGCTTAGCTGAGTCCCATAGTTGAGTGGGAACTAATAAAATGGAAGGGTATGCCGTTAATGTGAAGGCAATGTCATTACTTCTTCGTTCGTTCGTTTCCAATCCAAAACTATTAATTAAAATTAGTCTCTTACGAAAAAAGAGGAAACAATTTTGATCAATCCTATGAGATGAAATGAAAAATGAAATGGAAAATCAATCACTCCAACGCAGTGTGTGGACATCACTGTGGGCCACTTGGTAAGTAAAAATGAAAGGACACAAATAACCTATTGTTTACCTATTGTAGAGGATGATATCCGGAACCCAAGCAGATTCGTAAAGGATAACGGTCTCCTTAATGCCATCATAATCGGCCGGGTTCCATCGCAGGTGTGTGTCGTTCCAGCGCTCGACCACTGCGACGAGGGTGGTCATCGACTGATCTCTCTCGTCCTATCGGTTGGAACGTCGTCGTGTTCGTATATGAAGGTGAGGTGGTTAACCTATGAGGTACGATTATATTTTATCGCGCGAGGGTGGGGGACGGAGACTGGGGCAGGAGTTCAACGAGCCACTTACGCATAACATGTGGGAAATGAATGAGGAGACAACACGTATACATGGCGATTCGTAAATATCAATGCAAGTTGCAATTTTTTATGTTGGAAAATTGCCAAATCATTCATAGATCCATCGCTTGCCTTAAATTGCAAATCTTCGCTTTCAGTCGTGCGAAAAAAAAGCTTTGATTATGGGGTGTTTTTCAATGCCCATATTTTCATTTTTGAACTGTCATCTTTCGTTTGAGTTGACTGCAAGTAAAAAACGAGTTATTTATCTTTGGTGACATCGTAATGCTAATTAACATTGATTGTTAGCGACGAAGAATAACGAAAAGGCAATTTGCTGATTATCTTGTGCTGTCAATTCAAAACCGAATCAGATTTATTTCTCTATTATGCCTGGCATCACAGGATTCCTGACATTGCGTTATGAGAAGACCTTTGGAATTGCGTGAGCGGAATCTCGGGCGACACTCACCAACTAGAGAATCCGAAATAGCGACAAGATGAAGGAGACGACAAGAGGTTCCCGGGAGCTCTTCACAGGCCGGATCTTGCGGTAGTTCCCTAAGAGATGCTCCTGTAGCCTGTACTCCTCCTCGCTGCCATCCACTTCCCACACCCTTCCCCAGCCCCACAGCAATATGATGCAGATGAAAACGGATGACTTAGTCTCCATCGTCCGTTGGAGAGGGCCTCCAACATGAGATTGAAAGGGGGAATGTTGCATCGGCAAGGAGTTGCTCCGATGCGTTTTGCTTCTATCTTCTCGCATCAGCCATTATAGATGGTGAGCAATCACGGTAATCAATGCCCACTGTATAACGTATTTATTTACCATGCAATCAGTGATCTGTCGCCCGATTACCCTCCTCCCCGTTGTTCCCTAGATGAGATTGGCTGCTGTTTTATTCGTCATATGGGATTCCCTTCCATTTGGAATGCCTTCCACGTGGCCATGTGGAGGACAGCGAGGTGGCGGGGAAAGAAGCGATCGGCTCAAGATCAAGGCCATGCCTAATGCGGCCGCAATAACCCTCATGTTCTTCCATGTCTTCATAAACGTTCATGAAATCTGTGGTAAAACTGCTCCTCGGCATGAGTTACATCCCAAAGAAAGTGCGATTTAGTTCTGAGAAAGTCCAATCACAGCTTAAATACTCTCCCTATGGCAATATATTTTCCATGATTAAAATGTCCAACTCTTATTTGCAGGGTGTATAGCATAATAAGTAGTTTCCAAATCATTTCAACGAACCCACAACATTAACATGCTATTATTCTGCCTTAACCTTGGGCGTTCGGCTCGTTGCTTTTGAATAAATATGTAAAACCACATAGATATTTTAGAGTCGCGATAGATATTCTAGAGTCTTCATCACGCGATGGAGCATCATGTGATGTCATTGTAAAGACGCGAGGGCAGCAGTGTTAATTTATTATTTTTTTCCTCAAGGACAGCCCCCCCTACCATCCCTCCATCAATGCTAATTACCAGGACTTGAGTCTTTGCAGTCGATTGGAGAATGGCTTACACGGTCAGCACCATCCAGGGATTTCTATCTGGCGTATAAATTAAGTTTGTAGTTCATGAAGCCAGAAAAAGTGCGATTCTTGTGCTCTTGTGCCCTTCATTCTCGCCTTTGCCAATTAAGCGTGCAAAAGTTGATGACCCTTGTGATAGATTATACATTTTTGGACACACTTCTCCCACACCCAATTTTGTCAAAGGAATTTGTCCCAATTTTTGTTCAATCGCTGTCAACTCCTCATCCAAAAATCCACTTATTCTCATCCCTTCTTTCGTTCCTAGTTACTCGAATCACCCCTTATTCCACACGGGTTAATATAAGGATTAACTTTCCTCGAGATAATCTCATTTCATAACTTCACGAAGAATCCCTAAAGAAGAATGAATGACTTACTCGCTCCCTGCACTACACCGTACGGCGATCCTTCGTCGCAAAAAAAAACGCATGCAGCCTCGATGCACGGATCCCCCGGTATTCCCCCACGCCTCCACGCGATTCATTCATCCAACCGATAAATTCGAACCGGCATCTCGGAAGGCTCGGAGGGCGTGAGGCGCTCGTCATCCGCCTCGTCGACACTCGCTGAAATGTGCGTTTTTTCCTCGTCATTCCAGCGACGTGTCTGTTTCCCCTCCGTCTTCTATCCTGTTTCATAGTGGGTGAATTCAACTGGCACGTTTCAACGGTATGATATCGTCATTATCCAGTCAACTTATAAGCTTAACTCATGGAAAAGGGCAGGTAATAACAGCTTTAAAATGCCTAGTTCGGCCTATTTTGTTATAAATAAAAATACAGACTATTATTTGCCGTTTCGGATAAGAAATGGATTTCCGAATAACAGCTTCTTGGACTCGAAGGCCATCCAAAATTCCTGTTATTGAGGCAAATGTGAATAATTTCAAGAGTCTCATTAAAGATGATGGAAGAACTACCAACCGCGATCTTGAAGTGTTTGCATCGAAGTGGCAGCATGGGAAAAAAATATGAGCAAGAAACCTTGCTGAATCGAGCTTATGACGCCTAAATTAAATTTTAAAACTGATTATTTCGGACAGCTGGTTTGAGTGCTTTGACAAGAATATGCTTTCGAGGGATAGTGGGAAAAATTCCAAAAATTAATGGAAAATATTACTTCCTTTCCACTAACTTTCAGGACAACCCACGTATTTTAGTTCTTAATTCTCAGCTTCCATCAGTCACATATGTCTTGGGCGAGTGCTCCCGCTATTTCATATTGAAGGAAGTGACTAGGATATTTGTTCTTTCAATAGAAAACCGGGGAAAACTATGCAAGCTGTCCAGATTTGCTTCATTTTCGTGCTGATGTTATTGCTGTTCACTCTGGCTCGATATCTGTTCAATGACATACTGCAGACGTTCAAGCAAGGTCAGCCGAAGACGCTGTCGGCTGAGTCTCAGTCGCAGTCGCAGTGATTGCAGTCGTCAGAATCACCGTCGCCACAATTGCAGCCTACTGAAAAGAAATTCCCGTTTGTGATTTTGGATGCTGCTGGAAAAGAGGCAATCAGGCAGCGCCGAACCAGCATGAAGGACGAGGACTGGGAGGCGGAAGCGATCCGACTGAACGACGAAAACAAGATAGAGGGTAAATACATCAACATCACCGTGGCGAACAACGGCAACTGGGAGTTCACCCTCAACTGGATAGCCAGCCTAAAGCGCAACAGCTATCACAAGTTCCTCCTCTTCTGCTTGGACTCCCTGCTGAACGAGGCGATTGCCGAGAGATCGCTGAGTAGGAACGCCGTCGTCGTCCCTCGAAAGTGGCTGGATAGACCCATTTCCACCAAGGGGGTGACCTGGGGCACCAGGACCTACAAGGTCCTCACCCAGGCCAAATTCATTGTTGCTTACAAATTGCTTGAGTGGGGCCACACAGTGTTCCTCTCGGACGTCGACCTCGTCTGGCTAAGTCCCAACATCCTGGCCCACGTAGCGTACGTTTTCGCGATCGCGGACATGGCGCATATGATCGACGGGGAGGACGATATCAACACCGGCTTCTATATTGCCAAACCCAGATCGGTCTTGAAAGAGCTCTTCCATTGGAGTGTCATTGAAGTGCTGAAAGCGGACGAAAACGTTTACGATCAGGAAGTTTTCGACAAAGTCATCAAGAACATGATGCCCATCAAGCACTCCAAGAACATGTGCCACCTGGACAAGCTGCTCTATCCAAATGGTGCGGTCTACTTCAAGCAGAAATTAAATAAGAAGGTGGTCATTCAACCGATGATAGTGCACGCCAATTATTTTGTGGGAGCCAATAATAATACGAAAATGCTGCAGTCCCAAGACATGTGGAATACTTATGTAGGTTCCAGAACTATGTTCATCGAAAGAAATAGAGTGATGAGCAGCTCAATTCTAAAACCTCATTTCACATTTGCCATCAATCATTTATGTTCATGCAAAAGGCATAATAAAGGTGCATGAGGTGTTTATTCATATGTAAAGTATATCCTCTACACACTGTAACGCTGTGCAACTTGCAATTGTGGCAATTCACGTAAATACGAGGAGATATGCACATCCTAATCTCTAAAATGACCAAATGACTTCAATCGGAAGGAAATAATCAGCTGTGCTTCACACAGGCTCATTTGATTCCTAGTTGAACCAAAAATTTATCTTTGACATTATTTTACTTCCAAGGGCTTTCTCAGTTATGACAGAAAATCTGTTCGATAGGAATGTGGATTTAACGGTTATTTATTCCCATTTCAATCAAATTCCTGCTGATCGTCATATTCAGGCCTATAGGAGGATATTAACTGATTTCACATTAAAATGACGCTTCATAATTGTTTTTTCATCTAATCTGGTGAACAATGACAATGACGTATGTACGGCTGCTCTAATTTTCCTCATTTTCCTCATTGCATTCATTCACATGTTCCGTTATTCCTCAAAATGGCACCATAGATAGCCAAAGAAGTCTAAAATAAGTCCAGGTTCACGATTTAACCTTTTTTCCCAGCAAGTTGAGTTTTTTTTTTAGTAATATGAATAAAAACACAACCGGCCCTGAATAGTGATATGCGCCAAAGGCAAGTTCTAGGTCCACCTGACAATTTGAATGATCTTGGATGAAATTAAGTTTCTTTATGAGATAGACATTTAACCTTTCTGATTTTACTTAGTATGTTATACTGAAAACATCATTGAAAACATGTATTCAGTCTGGAATCCAGAAGGATGCGAAATTTGAGGTAGAATTTCCGAGGAAGAGTTAATCCCACATTCATGTCTAAACAGGCACTTCTTCCTAACGCGATCGGGAACCCTAGGTGGCCTTTTCTCCCTTTTTTTCAAATCACAATATGCACAGTGGATGTAGGGACTTTGGCTTAATGCTACGTGGGTCGAATTTACTCTCTCTTGTTTATACTTGACGTCCATCCTAAAAATTTCGTCTCCTTACGTTTAAGCTACGTAATCGCTACAAATTATAATAAAAAGGTATAAT